AGCTGGGCTTAGAGCCAGCCATACCCCATGGACCTTCCACTCTGACGGACAGTTAATGCCCTTGATCCACCCTGGGTTGGATCTTCTCCTTCTTGCAACACAAAAAATCTGAACTGATACAAAAGGTGAGAAGAGAGGAGCTCCCAGGTGGCTGACTTCTGAATCTTGGCATCATCTTCCAGGAGGGCATGGTGTGACTTCCTTGGTTCCAAGGTAGAGGAACGGAAGCCCGGACGCTCTGTGGCCCTGGCCCGCAGACCCCGGGTGGCCCGGCGACATACCGAGGCTCATAGGAGTTGATGAGAACCATCTGGACCGCTGACTGAAGGCTTAGGCCCTGAGGTAGGGCTGGGTCCCTGGAATGTGGACGCTGAGCCCCAGGCCCACGCCAGAGAGTATGGAGCGCTACTCAGGGGAGCATCAGGCTCCCACCACATGACGCAAAAGGACCCCCAGATTCTATGAGTCATTAGAATAAGGGATGGGGCCCTGGCTGGTGTAGTTCAGTGGATTGAGCTCCAGCCTGCGAACAAAAGGTCACCGGTTCGACTCCCAGTCAGGGCACACGCCTGGGTTGCGGGCCAGGTCCCCATTTGAGGGTGTGTTAGCGGCGGCCAAATGTATCTGTAGCACACTGATGTTTCCCTCCCTCTGTTTCTCCTTCCCTTCCCCTCTCTCTAAAACAATAAATAAATAAAATCTTTTTAAAAAAAGAAAGAGAAAGGGATGGGGATGGGAACATTCCCAGACTTCCCCAAAGGGAGCAGTCATCACCGGGAAGAGCCCCAATCCCACCTCTCCCAGGAGCCCTCTGGGAATGTGGCTGCAGGCAGCTGGAGCAGGGATTGCCGGGAAGGGAGCAGAGGGACTGGGAAGTGCCCGGATGCTGTGGGAAGAGGGCAGGGCTGAGTGCCCTGGGAGGGGTGGTGGGTGAGACTCGGAATATTCCTGAATGTTCTTTCATGATGCAGCCTTAGGGAAATGTTCCTGGCCGCGCCTCCAACAAGGCTGGGGGACTGGAGTAGGTACAATTGAGGTGTGGAAGTGGGGAGCCCTCACTTTCTGTCGACTCTGGGAAGAATCACCCCGCATGTAGCAACAGATGAAAGGGCTGCTCTGGGTCTGCCTTGGGGAGCATGCTGGGTGCCCACCTGAATGAAGGTGTGGCATCAGACCGCCAAGGATTGGTGCAGAGGACTGGGGGTCTCTGATGGAGCTGGAGAGTGGTCTGGAGTCTGGGGCAGGGCCCAGGGCAGGCAGAGGAGCCTGGCCTAGCTGGGAGGGGTCAGCACGAGGGCAAGCACACTGTGGGGAGACAGAGATGAGGGGACATGAGCCTGGTAGAGCCCTCCTTGCCTCAGCTCTTCTGTATCCATGTTCCCGAGGGCTCAGTCTTGTCCACCGGCCTTCTGCACGCCAGCTGCCACAAAGCCAGGCAGGAATCTGCTTTGCATTATCAGAGGAGCCGCGTCCCCCAGGCATATGGTCAGCAGACCCCCCAGCCAGGAGCATCATGGGAAATGTCTTCTCCTGACCCCCAACTCTGGCCTCAGCCCCTTGTTCCCCTGGAGCATGGGGCTGGGAGCTCAGTGGCTGCCGCCACACCCCTCCCCACTGGATGAAGAGGCTTTTCACGTTGTTCCGAGTCTCATCTCGGCTTCGTTGCACTGGATGAAAGAGAGGAGGGAGGCAGGAGGGACAGAGAAGGGGCTCTGCCGGGCCAGCGGAGATCAAAGGTCTCACCCTCCAGCCTAGAGAATGATGGAGACACAGCAGTTTCCCCAACGTGAGTGAAGAGGAGAGAGGCCTTGGGGACGGCGGGAGGGGCTGGAAGGCAGAGCCACAGGCCTCGGGTCCAAGGAGACTGATGACACAGGCAGAAGCAAGGGGGCATCTCTCTGTCCTCTGAGCCCACGGGGGGCTCAGAGTGAGTCCCTGCTCCGGGAAGCAAGAAGCTCTGGAGTTGCCTGGTGTGACAGCCACAGCCACTGTGGCCCCTGAGCACTCGCCATGGGGCCAGTCCAAACTGAGATGTACTATAAGAATCAACTTCTTTCCTCAGTAGGAGGAAAAAAAAAAGTAACATTTCATTAATAATTTAAAAAATATTGATTACATGTTGAAATAATACTGTGGACATACTGGGCTAGAGGAACTATTAAGTTCGTCTCGTCTGCTTCTTTTTCCTTTTGTAATGTGGCTACTAAAAACTTAAAAGTCACATATGTCGCCCGCTCTCTCTTCCTATTGGACGGGGCTGCTCCAGGGCACTCCGTTCGTTTAGTCAGCCGAGTTTTATTGGGTGCGAGCTCTATGCCAGGCAAGGTGCCGAGGATTAGACAGTGAGCAAAGCCAGACCCTGTCTCTGGTTTCCTGGAGTTTACAATAATCAAATAATCACTCAGACGGGTGCCTAATCGCAAAGGGAGATAAGTGGCCCAAAGACAAGGAGTGCAGCTCTCCGAACCTGGGATCACGGAGCGCGATGTGGGCGCCGAGTGTGACGAGCACTTCCCCGGGGAAGCCCCGAGCTGGGAGGCACCTTGGAAAAGAAGGGGAAGGAGTGTTCCAGGCAGAAGGGGCAGCGTGTGCCAAAGCCTTGTGGCGAGAGGGATCACCAAAGCTTGAAAAATGGTAAGAGGGCTGGCCTGGGGGAGAACAGAGTGAGGAAGAGGGGGGCTGGAAGGCTGGGCAGGGGCCTCAGGCAGCACGTGCAGGCCACGTTAAAGATGGAAAGCTGGCGGGGGAAGGGGCCATGGGGACCTCTGCAGTAATGTCAACAGTAAAGATGTAAAAAATGCCCTGGCTGGTGTGGCTCAGTGGATTGAGCGCCAGCCTGCGAACCAAAGGGTCACCGGTTTGATTTGCAGTCAGGGCACATGCCTGGGTTTCGGGCCAGGTCCCTGGTGGGGGGGCATGCGAGAGGCAACCACACATTGATGTTTCTTTCCCCGTCTTTCTCCCTCCGTCCTACTCTGTCTAAAATTAAATAAAATCTTCTTTAAAAAAGAAAGGGGAAAAAAAGGATGGGAAGTTCATGAAGCATTTTCATTAGCCCTCATGGGGGAACTGGAGAAAAGGGGTGGAGGTTAAGCTGAAGAAGGACAAGCAGGGTTTTCCCACAGTTTAGGGGGGCAGTGCAAATATCTGGTACAACGTCTTTAAGGCTCTCTGCCCCCCACCCACCCACCCTGGAGCCCTAAGCCAGAGCCGGTAGCCTCTGTCCGCCTCACCCAGTCCTGCACGCTCTGAGCGACTTTCAGATGCCCCCTCTTCGCTGCCCTTGTGGCCCCTTCTTTACTTCAGGCCGCCACTGACTGCACCTCGGCCTCTCCGGCTGCGCCCTCGCCCTGCACACCGCAGCCAGAGCTGGCGCTCTCTAAACTGGAATCTGTCTGTGGAAACCCCCTGCTCACAACCCCCAGGGGCCCCGCAGCGTTCCAGGGATGCAGTCCAGACGCCTTAGCATGTCTCTCCGTCTGTCCACCCTTCTCCGCCTGGCCCCACCGACCTCCGCTCCCTCTCCGGGCTCTGGGCCCGGGAGCCTCCCCAGGCCCTGTGAGGTCTGCTCTGTCTCTTCAGGGCCTTCGCTGACCTGGCTTCTCCGCCAGGAACACTGTCCTCCCAGCTCATCGAGTCCACTCATCTAAGGACTCAGGTTCAACGTCTCTTTTCTAAGAAACCTTCCCTGACTGGCAGAAGGTGGGGGCTGGGCCGGGACCTCCCACTCACCCCTAGTGTGGCGCTGCTGCACACCACCACACAGGGCCCGTGGGCTACCTCCCCCTCGAGAACCGAAGGTCGCCGAAGGCAAGGATTTGCGTCTCCCTCATTCCCACAGGCAGCAGCTGGCTCTCCGTCAGCACATTTGGGGTGTTTCCCCATCAAAACGAGGGTTCCCTTAGGACAGGAGTGGTGCCTCCCTCATCAGACTGGAAGTATCCTCAAGTCCGGGACTGTGTCTCTCCATCACATGGGAAGCTCCTTCAAGACAGAGGCCATCTCCCCCGCACACTGCGAACTGGGTGTTACCCAGGTACCAGGCTCACTCCTCCTCCCGACCCGCACCCCACCCCCCCCACAAGCACCCTCCTCACAGCCCTCACGGCCTGGGGCTGGAAGACGGAGGTCAGCTGGCCCTCCAGCTCACGCCTGCCTCACTCGTGGCAGCAGCGGCTCCGCTGGCCCCTCCCAGGATTTCGGGATTGGGAAGGTTTGTTTGCTTTTCTTTCTGGGAGTAATTGTCTCGAGCTTTTCCCAACAACCGAGAGCCAGCCCCATCAGGGGACCTGGCCAAGGGATCAGCAGGGGCTGAGCGGCTCTGATCAGCTGCCTGGCCAGCCTCAAATGGGGGGACAGGCCCGGGGCCCGGAACCCTGCAGCCCAGGGAGCTCCCAGGCCTGGGCCAGGCAGGGCTCAAAGCCAGGCTGGTAGGAGCCAGGTCTGGGACCTGCCTGGGAGAGCCACAAGGGAGGGGCCTGCCCAACTCCAGGTCAGGCCAGCCGGGCTTCCTCCAGGCCATCTGGAGCTGGGCCCTGTGCTCGGGCATGTGCTGCGGCTGGGGGCGGGGGAGGGGAGGGGGCGCGGGTAGCGGTGGTGGATTGTCTTCCAGAGCATGTGGGTGGCTGCAGGGTTGTGACCTGGCCCTTCTAGCAAGCCTCTGGCTCCCCTGTGGTCACTTTCACTCTTGACATCTGGTCAAATTCACAGCTGGCCTGCTTCCTGCGTGGCCGTTTTCACTTTCCCTCTCCAAGATCTGGGGGCAAAGGGCCCCCACTCCTTCCCTGTCTCACATCAACTAACTCCATGGCTAGTGCACGTGAATTTGCTGGATTTCTGCTAAAACTCCCCCATTTGGTGTGTGTGTGTGCGCGCACGTGGGGAGAAACAGGGCAGAAACTGAGTTGGAAATTATGCCTGGGTCCCTGTGACACGTACAAACCTCTGCCAACTCAAAAACACGTGCCTTTGCAGAAAATCACTGCACGAGCTTCCTTTCTTTGCTATTTAATGTTCATTTATGTTTTATGTGTAAGATTCAGGAGGGCCCAAGAAATGATTACACAGGATGCAAGGGAAAGGTGTCAGGAGCTCGCAGCCCCCCGCCGGGAGGCCAGGAGGGAGGCAGGAGGGGCCCCAGAACCGAACACATGCTAAAACGTACTTGCCACCCCCACCCCCTCCCCCTCCCCAGCTGCTGGGGAGGGAAATAAATACACTCAGACTGTCCCGCTCCCAGCTGCACAGGTCAGGGGCCAGCAGGTGAGTCTCCTCCTCCCACTGCAGATGGAGGTCAAAGCAATGCCCTCTACGCACAGCGCTCCCAGTCGGAGGGTGGGAGATCCCTGGGGGGGGAGGGGTGGCTGTCAGTGCACACATCCTGACCTGGGCTCGTTCATGCTAAATAGACAAGGGGAGCCACTCATTCCAACATCAAGCAAAACAGAACAGGCTGGGAGGGAGCTGCAGGCCCCTTCCTGGCACCAGGCTAGGGAGAAACTGTCCTTGGTGGGGTCCTCTAAACCTGGGACGAGCCGTCTAGGGGCTGGCTACAGTCTGACTCAATCGCTTCTTGCCGAGTTCCCACACTGGTCCCCTTTTCTTCATCACAACCTTCGGGGCCCAGCCAAACCCAAGGCTTTGGGGAAGGGGAGGATGTGGGGAGCATTCCTCCACGTGCAGGCCCTGGGAAGACAGGCGCCAGCTCAAGCCTCAGCCGTCCTCGGCCCGCCAGACCCGGGGGCGAGGGAAGCCGGCGAGCAGCGTTCAATCCCCTGTGATGCTTGTCTGGCAGCTGCCCCGGGCAGGATCCGGTCCCAGCCTAAGAGAAGGAACTTGTGGAGAAAAGATTTCTCATCCTGTGTGTATCTGTGTCGTGGGTGGGTGGTCCTTAGCCCCTGAGCCCCAGTACTGCCTGTGTCGGCTCTGGGTCTGTGCCAACACAGGGCAGGGATGGAGAGCGCTTACAGACGGGGCCCCTTCACAGATGCCACGTGGACACGCCTGGAGCTGGGGAGCCGGGCGAGGGAAGCAGCGCCCCTTTCCACAAACTCCGAACCGGACTCTGGTCAAGATGGATCAAGAGCCAGGCTTTGGGTAACGCATCCCGTCTCCATGTCCATGGGGGCGAACAGGCCTGGAGACGGCGCAGGGTGGACTGGATTTGGCTGCAAGACCTCTCCCAGGGGGTCGCCTGGCTCCCCTCTCCCAGCGCTTAAGACAACCTGAAGCCTGCGCCCCTCATTCAGGGAAGACAAGGCCAGCCCACGTTTGGCCACCCTGCTGGTGAGTGGCTTTGGGCCTCTCTCTGGGCCTCGCTGTCCTGTACGTAAAACAAGGAGGGGGGGCTGGATTTCAACTCCCGCTTCCAGCTCTGACAAGCTTACGATCCTCTTCATCTTAGGCCAGACGGGAGATGTGGTGGGGCTGAGGGAGGGGTTAGGCCACGATGATGCTCCCTCGTTCCCCAAGTTCACAGTGTAGAGTCCATGGCTCCGGTTCCCCAGTCTCTCTGAGTCTCTGGGGCCTTATCATCACCCCACCGCCACCCCCGGGGTCAGCCCTCCAGGCAGGACACCTGCTGTGGTGGGAGGCGCCGGCCCACAGGGAAGTCTGGGGAGAAGGAGCAGAAGGCAGAGGTGGTGAGGGGGCGGGGAGGGGAGGCAGCAGGGGCACTTCTGGTGCTGGGGAGGGAGCGTGATCGGAAGCGATGGGGCCACAAGGGGCAGCGACAGGGCTGTGGTTTAGAGGCTCCGGACTCCCCGGCCCTGCCCAGAGGAGCTCAGCTCTGACGCTGGCCCATGGGGGTCGGCCGGAGTGTCAGTCACTGGAGTGGGGGCAGGGCAGGGGCCCCGGGTCCGCTCACACGGGGGACGTGGCAGTGGACTCGCTGCAGAGGCTCTCGACGATGTCGGCTCGCTGGATGCGGCGCAGGGCAGCCAGGAGGGCGTCGAGCGTGGCGCTGTCCTGGGCGGCCCAGCTGGCCAGCAGGGCCCGGACTGGGCAGGCCTCATGGGTGAAGGAGTCTATGTGCTCGGGCTGGTAGCCCAGCTCGTCTGCCAGGTGCCGCCAGGTGTCCCCCGCGGAGCCATTGAGCAGCTTCTCCACCTCCTCCCGCTTGGCTGGTGGCAGGCTGCTGTAGAGGCCTCCGTCCCCTTTGAGGGCTGCCAAGAACCCAGAAGTCAGACACCACCCACCAGGCCCTCTTCCCGTGCCCCCCCCCACCACCCACAGTGTGCCTGGGCACCTGGGATGAGACCTGAGAAAGGCTGAGGCATTTCCCTCAACCTAGGGTGGCCCCCAGGGCCTCTGGCCACCTAAGGATGGCCAAGATGAGGTCCTGGATGGGGGGACCAGACTGTGGGGGGGCCAGGAGCAGACACTGACTCATGTGCCCTCCCCACCCATAGCTCCACACTCTCCGCTCAACCTAACCCCTTCCCTGCCCCCTGCAATTAATCAAAGTGGAGGAGGAGACGGGACTCTCAAGTCCCAGACTCAACTGTAGCAAGTATCCTGGAGCTGGACTATGGACCACTAAAATTATGGGACATAATTAACTACTTGTTCCTTAAAAGACCAGGGCAGGAGGCTAATTGCAGCCACTTGGGGGAGTAATTAGCCCTAGGGGGCACAATTAGCTTGATGAGTCTGGATGCTCCAATTTGTCAAATCGTCCATTTCCCAAGTCACTCCACAGGAAGGGACCTCCCCCACCTCTCACCTCACCCCATCTTCCTTCTGTCCTTCTACCCAGAAGCACGGGTCACCAGCCTCTCTGGCAGTCCATCCTGCAGTCTAATCTTAATCACTCCTGATCACCCTGCTCCATCCCCTTCCCCGCCTCGCTGCTCACCCTGGCCTGCGGCCGTCTGTGTGTGCGGTTGCTGGTCATGCAGGCTCTGGCTGTCCACAGAGATGCCGCTGTCGCTGTGGAGTTTTTCTCCCTCGGGCGGAGGGGTCTGGTTCACGGTCCGGCTGTTGGCTCCTTGCTTGTTCTGCTTGCAGCTGTTCCACCTGGAGCCGGGGGGCAGGCCCAGCCTCAGCGGGGAAGGGCCGTGCCGGCCACGTGGCCAAGGCACGTGCTCTGATGTGTGGGGGCCCGGGGCAGGGTAGGGACCCAACCACAACCCCAGCCACAGAGCCTGAGGATCTCCTTTCCCTACATAGCTGCCCCTGGCCTGCACTGAGAGCATCGTGAGGGCAGGAGGCACTCAGGGCTCGGTGCACACCCCACGTGCTCGGTAACTCAGTTCACGGAATGAATGACGCATAAACAAACGACTTTCTAGAATTCCTTGTTTCCCAATCTACTCTTAGGAAACATCTGCACAGGCATGCAGGACACATACAGCACAAGGACTTCCTCTGCTACATGAGCACTAACGAAAAACTGGAAACGGACCAAATGTCCGTCAGCAGGATGCTGGTTAAACCCACCCTGGCCCGCCCCTATTACTGAAGCAGCGGCTACACATGATCAGACAGTCTGCGTGTCCTGAAGGAGGCTCTCTTGCGGGATATCACAGAAAACGTCACAGAACTCGGGTAGTGTGATCCCATCGATGCTAAAATGTATACGTACCCGTGCATTTACGTATAACTAAAAAGTTTTACGTACACGTGTTTATAAACGCACAGAACGTGCTGGGACAGAACCCAAACAGATTTTGATGATGCAAGGGGGAGGGTTTGGGGGGTAAAAGGGAGCTTTTGTATTTTGCTTTACGAGACATTACTCTTGTCTGTATTCTCCCAAACAAGCATATATTACTCTGACATTCGTTTTGGTGTGTTTTTTTAAGAATAAAAAATGCACGTAAACATTTAAAATGCTTTCTGGGAGTTCTTGCACACGCCGGCTTTCCGGATGCGGGTGCCACAGTTTCTTGGGGGTGTGACATGGGAGGGACAAGACACGTGCATGGAGACATCTGTGTGTGTTAACCAGCTTCGGGGAATGAGGGCGGAGGCAGTTGGCAAAGCAAGTTTTCTGTGTGCAGCTGGGGGCTGGGGAGCCAGAGAGGGGAGCAGCCTGGGAGCGGGGCGGTCCTGACCAGGCCAGGCCAGGGACAGTCACCCTCCCTCCTGCCTGCTGATCCGTCATGCCCTGGAGTCGGGCAGCTGATGGTAAGTGAGGAAGAGCGTGTTTTGGGGTTGAGTTAAAAGAGTGTGCATTTCCAGGTCAAGGTCACAGTAAAGCCCAGCTTGAGAGCAAAGGTCCCTTTCTCTCTCCCCTACCCCTTCTCTCACCTCTTGAAGGCAATGTAGGCCACGAGGCCCACGACCACGGCGGCCAGGATGGAGCAGTAGACGGGGATGAGGTTGTCAGTGGAGCCTCGGGTCACCACGGGCTGGGAGCTGCCCATCACTGTAGTTGCCACGTCTGCCGCTGTGCTGGCCACGAGGTCTTGCTCTGGAGGCGCCTCCGGCTCCTGGGTGCTGGGGGCCGTGCTGTCCGAGCCCTCTGGGGGCGTGGACCGTGTAATCCAGCGGCCAGGGATCTCTGGGAGGAAGGGTGACGGGATTGAGTGCCCACTCCCTTCAGCCCCTCCCTTTATGATCTGACCCACCCAGTGCTTCTTCCTGAGTCCCCAGCCCACCCCACGTGCGCATGTGCTCAGGCGGTGCACGTGTGGGTGAGGACTGGAAATTCATGCGTGATGATGTCACGATGATGGAGAAGAGCAAGAGCCTGGGAATTGGGACACCTAAACCCCCTTCGGCTGTGTCACTGACTTGCTGTGTGACTCTGGATCAGTCCTTTCAACTCTCAGGACCTCCATTTCCCTGCCCGTAGAATGGGGATATTAAGAGAGACGGTCTCGCCCTGGCTGGTGTGGCTCAGTGGATTGAGTGCCCGCCTGTGAACCAAAGGGTCACTGGTTCGATTCCCAGTCAGGGTACATGCCCGGGTTGCGGGCCAGGTCCCTGGTAGGGGACAGGTAAGAGGCAACCACACATTGATGTTACTCTCCCTCTCTTTCTCCCTCTCCCCTCTCTGTCTAAAAATAAATAAATAAAATCTTTAAAAAGAGAGACAGACAGACAGAGACAGAGAGATGGTTTCTAAGCTCCCTTCCATCCCGGCGGTAGTTGTGTTCCTAGACATCTATTCTGTGCCCCCGGGGACCCAGAACCTGGCGTGAAGGCGCACACACAAAGAAGAGAGTGTAAGCCCCGGGAAGCCTCTAGCTGGAATCGATCTGGGAAGCTGTAACCTCTCTGACCCTAGGTTGCCCCAGTGGCCCCAGTTACCCTTGTCCTAGGGAGGGATGAGGGCACCCCGGTGCCCTGCCCCACCCCACCTCCCCTGAGCTGGCACTCAGCCCCCTCTCCAGTCTCTGCCGTCCCAGCTGTAGGCTCGGGCAGGGTATGGACACCAGGCCAGGATTCCCTCCAGCCAATCCTTGGACAGTGGCTAGCCCATTTCCTGCCCTGCGTGGCCCTCATTCCATCCGATCTTGCCGTCCAGAGAACAGAGTGTCAAGTAGCCGGAACCCTGCTTGGGCCGGAAGCAGGACGCAGGCTGCGGGTGGACACCGGCCTCCCGAGCAGGTACTGCCCAGCACCTCAGGGGGAAGGACACTGTGCCTTGCCACCCTCCTAGGCCGTCTCATGCCAGACGGGCACTGCCAGCCTCTCTGGCTACGTCCTGACCCCAGTGGGTGGGATTTTCCATTCTGTCACTCAGCTGCGGGCAGGTCCTGGGGTTGTGGGCTCTGGGCGGCCTGAGGGTACCTGTCTGGGCAAAGCTGCCTGCCCTATCTGTCCTCACTTCCCACACCTAGGGCTGCTGGGAGGGCAAGCAGATGGGGCCTGCCAACGGGGTGATGGGGAAGGCATCTTGCTCTTTCGCTCAGCCCCACCCAGCTCCCAGTCTGCCCACCCAAGCTGGAGTTGAAGGTGCCCACCGGTCTCTGGGCCTCCTTGGCTCAAGACTAAGAAGCTTCAAAGAGCCCTGTTTTCAGCACCTTCTGAGAGGTGAGGCCCCTAGATGTGAATCTGGAATACATCTGGTTGGCACTGAGGAGGGGCTGCCATCTCAGTCCTGGGAGGGGGCTGCGGGGGTGGGGTGGGAAGTGGAGGAGACACAGCCCGGCCTTTGGCAGCCCCAGATACGGTGTTAGACTGGGGAGGGTCTGCTCTTGCCCTGCTCGGAAACCGGGCCAGCCGGAGGGGCAGCCCGAGCCCTGAGGCTGACCCAGCCCTCGGGCTGGAGGCATGGCAGTGAGTCCGGCCATCACAGAGACTCCAGAGCCATGGGGAAGGGACAGGCCAGGCTGAAGACAGAGCTGTCCAGGGCGCTTTCCCCACATTTCTCCCGTCCCCTCTGACGGCGGCTGGGGGATAAGATCCAGATGCGGCCGTGTCCACCGGCATTCCAACCCGCTAAGCCCTTGGCAGGTCCTGACAGCCGTTTCCGGCATGGGAGCTGTCAGACTAGGGGGCGGGAAGAGAGACCAGGTTATCCCTGCTAAATCCAAGCTTCACCAGGGCAATTGGGGTGGGGGCGGGGGCTTCTGCTCCAAGGGTGGGTGAGTCACCACGTTGACACCTGAAATGTATATGCGGGAAAGTGCAATGCACTGGAGGGGAAGGGGGCAACCAAACCTTGAGTCAAATTCCGTTTCCTGAAACGTCCCCTCTGCCCCAGAGCCGACATTTAAGCCTCCAGAGGCTGGAGTACAGAAGGGCAGAGGGACAAGGGTAAACAGAGCCTTCAGAGGGACCCTCCCCCTTCAGGGTGGCTGGGGAAGTGGGTTTCTCTCTGGGGGAAATCTGTGAACACCCCAAAACAGCAGGGCCCCCCCCCAGCCGCCACCTTTCTTTGCTTTAACCGCACCCCTGACTAAGCCCCCCCCGACCAGCCGGCCTGGACTTGCCCGGGGAACTGTGCTCGTGCCTGCCTGCTGCCAGCTGCTGAGACTCCCTCCCAGCTCTGCCCTTCGCCTGGCGCCACTTGTCTGTCTCCTCGCCCGGGGCAATGGCCACCAGAACCGCCATGTTCTGTACCCCAGTCCTCCCAGCCCCCCACCCCAAAACAGAAAGCTTCACAGGCACCCCTGGCCACAGCCCGACCTAAGGGCCCACTGCACCCTGCGCTCCCTGAGCCAGAGGCCATGGGAGATGGAAGGAAGGCACGGTCGTGTGGCAGCCGGGGTCAGACTGGAGGCTCCCCACAAAGGACACCTACCGCCCCCATCTGACTGGGGACTGACCGAAGGCAGAGGCTGGGCCGCCTCCACCAGAAGGAGCGACTCCTGGCACCTGAGTGCTGGGACCTTCTCTGTTATCCGACTGAGGCACAGGCTGTCTCCCCACCATCAAACCCCGGGTTCCCTGAAGGAGGCACTGCGTTGCCTGCTCAAAGTGAGGGATCCCCAGGGCTGGGGAAACAGCTCGATGGGCACCCAGCTACAGGGTGACAGAGAGAACGTGAGGGCACCGTCAACCTCTCCCTGCGGTGGAAAAGCCCACCCATCTCCCCGAGACAGAGGTCACCAACTGGAGACCAAAACGGTCCTTCTCTGACAGCCACGGCGCTTCCTCCTCCCTCCCAGGAGTCACACCACCTCCTTCCGGCCTTTGCCTGGCTGAGGTGGGCACACCCAACCCACACCACCACCGCCCCCACCCCCGGGGCAGCAGCTGAGGCCTCCACCTGCACCCTGCCTGTCAGCCTCGGGCTCCGGCCACTCCCCTTCTTCCTCCACCCCCACAGCCCCTCCCCCACGACCTCCCCACAGTTCCCTGCGGCCCACCTCACCCTGGACTAAACCGTAAAGTGACTGCTGACCCCGCCCCCAGGTACCGCAAGTCAAAGTGGTTCTCTCACCCACAACCCCACTAGGAACCACGTGCCCAGTGGGGACACTGAGGTCCAAGACAAGAGTCGCCTCCTTAACTAACATCGCTCAGCTAGTGACGGGGTGGATCCCGTCCTAGGCCCCACAGCCATGAACCGCCACGGACCCAGACCAGGCCTCCGAGCGAAAGGGTCCCAACCCCTGAGGGTCCCTCAGTTTCCCCGGTCCAGGAAGCCGGCTTCAAGGATCAAGTACGTTTGCTCTGTGCTCTGCTCACAGTGGCCACTTGCCAGCTGCTTATCTGCCACCCATCCAGTCCCCAGCTGGCAGCCACAGACTTAATAAAGCCCCAGAAAATGAGTTCGAATGTGGTAGCTGCGGCCGGGAGGAGGAGGAGGAGGATGGCTTTCCAAACACTTCGCCCAGATGAGGAAAGAGTGAAAGGGAGCCTTGGGTGAGAAGAACGGAAGCCACTTCCTCCGACAGGTTTCAGGGAGGGTGGCCGCTGGCTCAAGGCCAGGCCTGGCCCTTCCCGACCCCCAGGGGACGCCCTTCCCCAGCCGGCAGCCGGCCCGCGGCGCGCTCACCCTCGCACTCGGCGTCGGCCCAGCGCGTGCACTCGCGCACCTGGCGCTCGGTGTCCTCGCACACGGTGCACGGCAGGCACGGGTCCACGTGGTTGGCCTCGTCGGAGTACGTGCCGTCAGGACACTCCTCGCACACCGTGTTCTGCTTGTCCTGGCACGAGAACACGAGGCCCGAGCCCGCCTCGCACACGCGGCACGCCTCGCAGAGGCCCGTCGTCTCGTTCTGGTAGTAGCCGTAGGCGCAGCGGCACACGGCGTCGTCCGCCTCCACGCAGGGCGCTGACATGCTCTGCAGGCCCACGCACTCGGTGCACGGCTTACACGGCTCGATGGCGCTCACCACGTCGGAGAATGTCACGCCTGTGGGCAAATGGATGGGCGGGGAGCGGGGGGCCCAGACTTCAGCAGGCTGCTTTTGGGCACTTGGGTCGCAGGGGTTGCATGCAGGTCTTCCTTTCGTCCACCACCCCGGCCCCCGCCAGGGCGCTGCCTCCCTCTTTAAGCCTCACACCCCTACAGATTCCCATCCTCTACCCTCCCGTCCCTGATTCCAGGTCTGTGAAAGCTTGGGGCAGCTCACTAGGAAGGAGGAAATGAGTCAGAAGCCCCAGGCTGCAGGCCGCGGACTTGATGGCCCCCCGACGCTTCCGGGTAACCCAGCTGGTGCAGGTGAATTTCTTGGCAATTTCTCTTAGAGAATTTGGGCTCTGAGCCCTGTACCCCCGTTCCCAGCAAGATTAAGGCATACTCTGACTCTGAGCGTGGTTCCCACCCAGCCCTCCCCGCAGGCCGGAGCTGGGTTGTGCAGCCAGCCCAGGGGACCAGGTGTGGTCCAAATGGGAGTAACTGGGTTAGATACGTAATTTCCCACCCATGGCGCTCCCCCACGCTGCTGAAAGGCCTGGCTCTTGAGGGTGGGGATGGGAATCCCGGCAAGCTAGTTCAGGTCCAGTAGGAGGGATCGAAGCTAGAAAGCAAGAAGGACTTGCATACGTCGTCCTCTGCCCTTTCAAATGGCATAAAGGGGAGATTTCCAAGCTCCACCTCAGCTCATGTTCTCCTAATGAACGGGTGTGAGCTCCGGAATAAGGGCAGGGACCCCAGGGATGTCAGGGTCCTCGCCTCCTGGTGCAGAGGAGGCCCAGAGCCCATCTTCTTCACCCCTCCCAGCCCGGGGTGGGGAACTCAAGCCAATCTCACTCCCAGAGGAGGCCTCCCTGCTCCAGGGGAGGAAGAGCAGGGGCTTAGCGACCTGAGAACCAGGGGAGCTCTGCTCAGAATGCGGAAGCACGAGCAGAGAGAGTAGCATCTCACTGAAGGCAAGTCAAGGCCTGTTGCAGGGTCTGACCTCAAACTTCTCTAAAGGCGCCAGGAGACAACGTGGAGCACTGGGTCATTATCTTGTGGGAAGTGGGTGGAGAAGCAAATGTAAAAAACCAGGCCTGGCTGGTCCAGCTCAGTGGGTTGCGTGCCGACCTGCAAGCCAAAGGGTCGCTAGTTCAACTCCCAGTCAGGGCACATGCCTGGGTTGCGGGCCAGGTCCCCAGCTGGGGACATGCAAGAGGCAACCAGTCAATGTATCTCTGGCACATCGATGTTTCTCTCCCTCTCTAAAAATCAATAAATAAAATCTTAAAAAAAAAATCAAGTGGCAAGGACAGAAATCAGGGAAGAAGAGAAAGATGACAGTTCTGGTAGAGGGACCGCCGTATTTCTCTTCCTAGGAATCAAGCAGACCTGGGTTCCAGCATTTATTAGCTGTGTGACTTTGGATGTTTTACGGAACTTCTCTGAGTTTTTTCTTCCTCTGTAAAATAGGGAATAGTGTTTCCACTCACAGGGTTGTGGTGAGGAGTAAGGGAAGTTCACTGGGAAGCCCTTGACACACAGCAGGGACCCTATAAAGGCTGGGCCCGCGGGGTGAGCAGTGACAAGTGTGGTGAACTTCAGTAGCAGGGATGGTCACACAGCAGAAAAGCAGGGTTTCCCATCTAAACAAACGAGAGGCTCCTATCTGGTGGGCATGTGGCAGGCGGTTGGGCATAGCCGCCCGGGAGGGGGAGGAAGGGCCCTGCTCATGGGAAAATACAGAAAATTAGCAGAAAATTCCTGGGAGAGGGTTTTAGAGGGTGGGGAAAATGTGGTCTTTTTTGGCAGAGAATGGAAGGCGGGAGCTTAATGGGTTTCCTCGTGGAAACGCTCTGAGGATAGAGGGAAGGTCCACTGGGGTCTCCATTCCATAAAGTGGGCTTGTAAAGGCAGCCTGTTAATGCAGCTGGTGGGGAGTGAGGGGCGGAGGGAAAAGGAAGGGAACAGACGGAGGAAATGGGAGGGAGGACTCCTGCCACCACCTCGGAGCTCGCCTCCCCTCCCCCTCCCCAGAGATACCAGAACCTTCCTCCCCCAGGCTCTTCCACCCCACCCCTTGCTTCCCCAGGAGGTGAGTGCGGTCCCATGCTGGGAGACTTAGGGTCCAGGGAGGAGAGGCCCTGGGCCAGAGTCTAGGAAATGAGAGAGGCAATCTCGGGGGAGGCTCCAGGGTAGGCAGCAGTTGGCCCACCCTTCCCTGGCACGGAAACCCTGTTAGGCCAGGGCAGGCAGCCAGAGGGCAAGGCCTCACAGGATGTGCAGTCTCCCCACGCAGTCCTAGGCATCCCTCTGCTGGGGGGCGGAGTCACAGGGCTCATACACACAGAGACGGGAAAACAGTGTTTGGGGAGACCGAGGAGCTCCGGCTGCCTGAAGGATGGAGAGGTGCTCGGGTGTTGGTGGTGGGGAGGCGTCCAGCGTCAGACTAGGCAGGCAGGTGTGTTCAGGGCTCCCCGTTCCTGTGCCCTTGCTCCCAGGGTGGTTAGAGAGTGGAGTATGGTTGCCACAGGCCCTCCAGATGGGCTTGGAGTGCCAGGTGGAAGGTAGGATCTGACTGGGCAGCGAAGAAAGGTTTCCAGGCAGGGCCAGGACCAGAGTACTGAGCCTGTGGCCTGAAGGCAGCTACTGAGGCTGGGGGCACCCCACAGAGCTGGGACTCCTGGCTCAGAAGTGTGCAGAATTCAGACCCCAGGCCCAGCACCCCTCCTCCTGCCTCCTCCAGCAGCCCTGGGAGACAGGATTCTCTCCCCTTCCCAAGGAGATCTCAGGTAGCAATGGCCACAGTGCCCCTGTCCCCTCCCCCACCTGACATTGCCCCACAAGGAGGACTTCCTTACAGTACTCCAACCCCCATCCCTGCACTCGGGAAGGCTCTGCTGCCTTAGTCAGAGCTGGACAACAGTTGGGGCGGGGGGTCACCACCTCACCACACCCTCCCAGGATCCCCCAAGGTCAGTCTACCCAGCAGCCGGGATTTGATCCTCCTCCCCTGCCCCCTCCAAAACTCCGAGGGCAAGTGGCAGCCATTGATTTTGCAGTGCAGATGATATTTTTAGCTTGTCTTAGTGTCAGCTACTCTTCCCACCAGGCCACATTCTGCTGCTACCAGGCTTCTCTGCTTGGGGGCTGGGAAGGGGCTCCCTTCGGGATCCCCCATCAGGTTCCCCTCCTTCCTCTGCAAACTTCTCTCATCCACCCTCAGCTTCCCCCCTCTGCCTCTTGTCCTGCATCAGACCCACTTTTGGTGCCCATACCGTGGTGGGTAGGAGACCCTGCCAGGAGGCAGAGGACTTGTGAGGCTTCTACTGGACACGCCCCTCCCTAGGCCCTGGCTCCTCCCTCCCATTCCTCTCCCCTCTCCCCACCTGCCACCCTGTACTCACTGTCCAGGCAGGGCTCGCACACGGTCTGGTTGGCACCGCAGGGCTGGGCCACGCCCTCGCCTAGGTTGCAGGCTTTACAACACTCCCCGCTGTGGGTGTACAGGCCTGTGAGGCAGGCCTCCTTGGCACCTCCGAAGGACACCTGGGAGGGGGAGATCAGAAGGTCAGACTGGTAAGAGAAAGGAGAGGGAGTATCTTCTGAGGGATCAAACACCCCCTCCTAAAGCCTTCTATTGGAACCACCTGGGCCCGGATGAGCTCACCACGGAGGTATTAGGCACATCAAAGCTGGCAGGAAGAAAGGCAGTGGGGGTCAGCAACCCTTGCAGGCTGCTGGGGGTGCGAGGTCAGAGCCCCCCCATGCTGACCCTCTGCAAAGTTCATCATGGGGTTACAGCAGCTCTTAGAATCTCCAGGATGCACCACGTGGGCGCAGCGGCTTGAAGCCCCGCAGGGGGCCCTCACGAACGGTTGGGCTGGATAGGCTGCAGCTCGCAGGGGGCTTCCAGCCAAAGGGGCAACTGCAGGCTGAATTTAGTCAAAACACCGCTTACTAAGCTGCACACCGGCAGGGCTCCACCTAGGCGGAGGGGAGCCTTTTTCTAATGACAGCTAGCAGGGCGTTCTCTATTCCAGATCCTTAATTCTACCATTCTGCATATTATCTATCCAACGGGAGGTATCTGGACCCAAAACAGAAGACAGAGGGGCGGGGGTCTTAGGTTCAAGTCCTGACTCTGCACTGGGAGCTCTGAGCTTCCCTGCCCTCCCCCTCTGAGTCTCCAGCTCTCCACAGAGGCAGAGAGGGCTACAGCTCAGGGCCGGGGCAAGGACCAGCCAGCGGGCAAGAGCGTGGTGCATGACGTGAGAAAGGGTTGCCTGTTAGCAGCGATGAGACAGCGGTGGCTCTCACCACCTAGCAACCCTGCTCCACCAGGGATTGATTTCCAGGCACCAGCCCTCCCCCCTCCCTGCCCCCCACGCAGCCAGTGGGAGCAGCCCTGGAACCAGCCGAAAGGGGAGTCGGATTCCTGCCGCCGAGGCATCTTTGCTTGTGGATGGAACGATTTAGCACCACATTCCCTAGAGGGAGGGGCTGCTGGGAGCTTGCTTTATATTTCTGTTCCTTAAAAAAAAAAAAAAAAAAGCCTTCATGTCTAATAAAACTCCCAAGCCTGTCTCCCTGGCCCCAGACCACGCAGCTCCCATCGGACACTGGGAGGAAGGACGGGCTCTCAGGTTGGTTGTGGGGGCAGAGGGGAGCGGCAGAGGTCATTGTTACCAGATCGTGGCCAAGAACATTCCCTTCCCTCCAGTCCTGTACGATACCCTGGGATCTCCCCAGGGTTAGGGGGAGGCAGGGGGATGCACAGAGTGGATCGGTCTAGGAGGCAGTCTGTGGTCCTCAAGAGCCCAGCGGGGGGTGGGGTGCAGGCAGCCCAGGAGGGGGACCTTGGGTGTTGCCACCACCTCCTCGCAGGTGGCAGGCACGCAGTGCTGGGAGCATGTGCGGACCAGAAGTCCTGGGGGGAGTCCCAGATACAGGCTTTCCCCTAGATGAGTGAGATTCCAGAAGGGTCTGTTTGGATTTCTTTTCGTCCTCTTAGGGCTCTGCTTAAATCTCACTTCCTCAAGGAAGTGGAGCTGTGTCCCCGGCCCCTCACAGACCAGTGCAGCCGCCCTGCGACTCGGTCTCCCGGCTGACTGCTCCCGCCTGCTCCGACACTGTACAGGATCCCCCAGTGGACTCCCTGTGGACTCCATCTGTGGTTGGCCCAGGGCCTGGCACGGTCCCTGGCACAGTCCCTGGCATGAAATAGGGACCTCACAGAACTCCAGGGGACCAGTTTCTGGATAGCTGAGTTTCCCCACAAGCCAAGGAGTTGCTGCCCTAATCACTTACTGTTTTCCGTTTTAACCACGGAGACTGCATCATTCTCCACCTCTGAAACACGCCTTCACAGTCTCCCCATGACCCAGGGACCCAATAGTTACGCCAGCGATTATTCCAGGCTGCTATGCAGTGAAGCCCTCGTGTTCATTATCCCAAGTCACCACACTTGCATCTCTTTGAGTTCTCCTGTCAGCTTTTTAAAATAGTTCTTTCTGTCTCCTCCCTTCCCGTCAAGGTATCAGTTGTCAATTCTTGCTGCTACCAGCGTGTGACCGGAGCGGCCCCTCCCCCACCACTCTAATTGAATCTTTAGAAACTGTGTGACCAGCCTCTGGCAGGAAGGTGTATAAAATGAGTGTAGGTAGGATCTGAAGGTGAGGGTCAATTCTTCAAGGAAAAAGTGTGAGCTGTACTACTGCCTTTGTCCTCAGCAGCCTCTGTGGCTCTGAATCCTGACGCATCACTTAGAGCTGGGTGAGCTGCGACCAGCTTTGAGCTTCTCTGAGCCTCAGTGTCTTCCTCATGGGGTCATGGCAGCATGGATAGGGTTGCTGTAAGCAGTAAATGAGTGAGGACGATGTTTATGCACGTTGGGAGCCCTCTCTTCTCTTTCCCAAGGTCTTTCTTGCTTCCTTTCCTTGGCCACGTTCCAGTTAGTTAGGGTCAGTGAAGCCCCAGGCCCGGTGACCCGAGGGGCTCTGTCTGGAGGATTCGTGGGTGGAGCGGCCGCCTGATACAAGCCCCTCCTCATCGAAGCCTGCTCTCCCTGCTGCAGCCGGCGGTCCTCTCTCTTCCCCGGGGCCTTGCATTAGTGACCATGTGTTTCCTGTGATTGATTCGTTTCCTATTTCAAAACATTGCAGCCCTCCCTGGGTAGTTCAGTTGATTAGACTGTGGTCCCCGATATGCCGAGGTTGCAGGTTCGATCCCCAGTCAGGGTGCATAGGAGACTCAACCAATGAATGCATAAATAAGTGGAACAACAAATTGATGGGGTTTTTTTTCTCTCTCTCTCCCTTCCTCTCTCTCTCTCCCTAAAATCAATAAATAATCATTTTAAAAGACATCACAGATCTGCTACTACTTAATAGTATGTTACTTTGGGTAAATTCTCAATCTCTCCGAGCCTCCATTTTCCCCTTTATAATACACTGGGGGCTAGTATCTACTGCTCAGGGTTGCTGTGGAAAATTAAATGATATAACTTGCGCAAACCTGTCTGGCGTACACTAGAATAAATGTTAGGTACCGAAGAAGCGTCCCCTCTTAGGGAAAGTGAACTGTCAACCCTAAGTAGGAGGCAGTGGGAGGGGAGGGCTTAGCCGTCCCCTAAAAGAGGAAACCGTCCAAGAGTCGGGGGCAGGATGGATGTAGAGAAAGGCTTAGCCACCCGGGAGCCTGAGGAAGTCACGGAGACCAAAGGAGAACGGGTACCTTCTCTCTCCCTGTAGTTCAGTAATTCAACAACCACTTGCCCAGCATTATATGCAATAGGAGTTTCCAGTGAGACGTGGCCCCTGATTTCTGTGGGGAACCACGGTCCCATGAGGGAGAGGAAGTGTCCCTCTGAACGGCTCGTCCAGAAGACAAGATGCTGAGGGGGAAAGACCTGAGGGAATGCCTTCATCCCTCTCTGACAGCTGGGGAAACTGAGGCCCGCTGGGTCACTCTGCTGAGCGGCCTGACGCTTGGCCCCTGCCACACCCTCTCTCGGTTCAAGCCAGGGCAATGCTGGGAAGCCAGGAGGGATGACTAGGTTCTGGGCTAATTGCTCTAAAATGGCCAATTTACCAAAACAATAGAAGCAGTTGCCTGAAATTTACATTTATTAGACTTACTCATTTCCAGTCTGATTGAATGATTTAATCCCATTTTTGAAGATGTTTGCAATCGTCTCATTTGTGCCATTTCAAAGCTTTCAAGAAATGAAGTACCCTTAGATAAATTGACTTAAGAATCTGAAAAAAATTTTTTTTCATCAGACAGAATAGAAAACACACCAAAACAGGTGAAAGAATTTGAATATGAATGCTTCAGTGTGATGCATCCGAACCATTCACAACAGCTTTGAAACAGGGTTCCCTAGGCGAATGGAGCCATGAGCGACGAAGATTTTTCAGATATGTGGAGGGTCTTTTGAGGTCGCTGCCAACCCAGGGGAGGCACTGGCTCATGCCCCCGCCCCACCCCTTTAGGCGGGAGCTGAGTTTGGGTTAGGAGACCAGAGCTATTTGCTGAGGACGGTGCTGCAGGAAGACTTCGAGGGGGGCGGGGACTCTGTGTGGGGCCAAGAGACAAACATTAGAACCAAGGGCATAGGGCAGGGACGCCATCTCCAGGGCCAGTAGTGATTCAGGGCCTCTCCTCCGTCTGTGTCTGTGTCCGGGAAGGGAGAGGGGGCTGGCGTTCAGAGGAAGGAGCCAAGCATCCTGGGTTCCCAGGGCTCCACCCCTCACTGGCTGGGAGAGCCTGGTTTCGTGCCTGAACGTCTAGGAGGTTCAGCTCCCTCGATTGTAAAATGGGAATCACTAGATTTACTCTTCTGGGACCTCAGGGGGATTAAACACAGCAAGAGAAATTTACCCAGGGTTGTGCGTGTCCCATAGTAAGCACTAAACCAATTTTATGACTCCCGCCTCCCCACCCCTCGCCCCCAGGGGAGAATCTACGTGCGTAAGCGGGACCCGGTAGGTAGAGCCGGGTGGGGACACTGCCCTTCCCGGAGCCGCCTTCCCCACCCGGCCGCCTGCGTTCTCCCATTTGCTGCCCTCGCTGCATCCCTATTAGGCGCATTAGCCAGCCCGGCGGCTCCGGTTACAGACGTCTGAATGACAAAGTGCCTCCATTACCGGCGCGGCCCGCCGGCGGACCCGCCGGGACGCGCGCTCTGGTTTCAGCACTCTCTCGCCGCGGCCCAGGAAGAACTCGGAGCGCCGCGGTGCGCGGGGGGCCAGCCGGCGGAGAGCGGCGGCGGGGCGGCAGGGTCTGCGCGGAGCCCACCTTCCCCAGCCCCCAGGCCCTCCACGCCGCCAGCTCTCCTCCTTCCTCGCCTCTTCTCCGCTCGGGAGACGCTCCCTCCGGCCCCGGTCCGAAGCCCACCCCCTCGCCCCTCCGGGTTCTACACGGCTGTCCGCTCCAGTCCCACGTCCCCGCTCCTCTTCCCGGCGGAGAAGCATCTCTAACCCTTGGGGTGAACAGACGGGCGAGCAGTCGCCCCCAAATCCCCGGAGGAAGCCATAGGTATCCACAGACCCAGGGAACCTGCGCTGAGCTTCGGGAAGGGGGCCGGGGCCGGCGCCCGGAGAGGGCCTCTGCTCACCGACGCTCCATGCAACACCACTACTGGCTCGGCTTGGGCTGGGGTCGAAGCCGCCCCGCCGAGAAACGCAGCTCTACTTCGGAGCTGGGACGCCGGGCTGCCCCCTTAAAAAGTGCGGGCAGTCCTGAGCTGGGAGCCAGGTGAGGGGCAGTCAAGCCAGGACTCTGGCTCGACTTGCGCACGGGATCTTAGCCAAGTTGTTTCAACTCTCAGAGCCTCAGTCTCCACGTCTGCGACGCGGGGATCTGGGAGCGCGATGCTCACCTGAAAGATGAAGATGCCCGGGAGAGTGAGGACACCTCCTTTAATGCCAAACCTTCCAGGGGCTCTCCGTTCATGGCCACACGCCAGGTCGCAAATCCTGGTTATCTTGTCAGAACTACCGGGCGGGCTTGGATGCTTAAGGTGACTCGCACTCCTTCGCCTAGACAGAATCCGAGGCGTCCGCGCGCCTCGGTCTCGGTGCTCAGCGCCCTCATCTGAAAGCCGGGCGGGGCGCGGGCGGAATCCCGACCTCCCTGGGCGCTGGAGTGGAGAGAACCGCGGGCGCCGCGGTGCTCGGGTCACTTCACTTAACCGGGCGCGGGCGCGCAGCCCCAGTGACACCCGCAGCTGCGGAGGGCACTGCCCTCACGCCGCAGCGCCCCCTGTGGGCCGCCTTCGCCGGCGCGACCCTGCGCCGCGCGCCTGCCCGGACATTCCCAGCCTGGCGCGTCCCCGCGGTCTGCACCCCGAGACGTGGTGGCGGCCAGATCCGGTCAGACAACACCCACTCCATCCCTGCTTGTCCGCTGCGCTGCTTCCAGCTGCGAGAATGGGCGCTTCGGAGCAGCCCGTGAGTCGTAGGGGAACGAGGGGAACGGGTTCGCCCCGGCAACGTAGACGCTCCCTTCCCAGCTTCGGATGCCCGGCGCAGTTTCCCGACTGGGCGAGGCCGCGAGAAAGAGCGTGAGCCAGGAGCGGGAAACGTCCGTTCCTCTGCGCTCTCTTCTCGACCTGCTGTCCCTCGGCGGACCCGCGGGGCCCCGACCGCCTCGGGGTGGTCCGCGCTTCCTTCTCCGTCCTCTTTCACTTCGCTTCCATCTCTCTACCTCCCAGGCCGCCGTCCCTTTTCAGCACCCCCCCCAACCCACTTTCTGTCTCTTCCACCGACGACTCCCACTCCCCGAAGCTCTCCCTCCCACGCCCCTCCCCCCCATTGTCTGGCCAGTCCTCATTGTCCGATGCCCGGTCCCCTCGGTCGCTGCAACCTCCTCCCCCATTGTTCCGTCCCCTCGTCCCTAGCCCCGCTCACCCCTCACATCTCGAGTCCCCGTCCCATTCTTCATCCTTCCCTAGCCTGGGGTCCCATCCCACGACCCTCCAGAAATCAAGAAGCTCAGAGGAAAGTCGCCCTGAGATTCCGGCAATAAAACGCCCTCTTCCAAAGAACCCAGGCACATCCGAGAGTCCCAGGACCTCCTCCTCCGAGACCCTGACCAGCTCCTCCACACACACGCCCATGTACCTGAGGACCCGCCTCCGTGCGCACCGCTGGCCCGCATCTCTGCCCTGGGTCTCAGGGGCTCCTCTGCGCCCTGAGAAGCCTAGACACTCCTCTGTGGATCCTGGCATCGGAGCTCCTCTCCCGCTATCCATCCCCGGCATCTGGGACCCCAACGCTCTGTACTGTTTCCCTCGGGGAAACCTGAATCCATCGGATTCCGGTCCCGGGAAAGGGAGTGGGCTCCCCGCAAGCTAGCACTCACCCCCAGGAGCAGCAGCGGCAGCAGCAGCAGCAGCAGGCGCGGCTGGTCCATGGCGCAGCCCGCAGCACCTGCCCGCATCGTCCACCTCCCGAGGCAGCGCCCGGCTTCCAGTTAGTCGGCTCCGCAGACGGATAGGGCTGCGATGCGCTCCGGCACCCGCCCCCCGGAGCTGGCCGAGGCTCCGCTCCCTCTGGCTGCGGGCGGGAGGGGCTGGGAGAAGCCAGTGCGGTGGCCCCGCCTCCTCCCCGCCCAGCCGGCCCACCCCCGGAACCGCGCCCGCCCTCCCCGCTGCCTCCGGGAGGGGAGAGGAGGGGAAGGGAGGGTGCTTTCGGAGACGCGTCCGCGCGCCCCGCTGCCGTTTCTGCTCGCCCTGGCACTCAGAGCCTCTCCCCCACCTCGCCCTGGTACCCAGAGTGCCCGGCCTGCGCTAGGGCGCATCTGTCGCAGATGCTGTGGGCTCGGGACTAGGGCGGCTCCCGTTCCCCTCAGGCTGCGCCTGCCCGCAGGAACCACTCTTACCCATCTTGCTCTGCCATCCATCCCTAGCATCTGGCTTCAGCTTCTTCTCCGGTCCCCGGCTCCCACCCAGCCTTTATCAGCAAGGTGCCTACTGCCCTCCCTGCTCTTCATCTTCTGGTCCGTCTCCTACCCCTACCTCTGCCCTTTCCCAATGCAAAGGCCTAGGGTGAGGGGATGGGAGGAGTAGCAGGTGGCCTGACCAAGGGACATGTAAGGTGGAGTCCGTCCCAACATCATCTGAATTCTCAAAAGACGCGTTTGAAGGGGTCACAAGTGCGCAGCCGAAACACAGGAAGACACACACTCTCAAGCTTACATGCATGTACTTATGTACCACGTGCTCCCACACCATCCTCATGCACTCATAGACCCGCACATTCTATGCATACCTGTAGAGTGTGCAGCTGCACACTCAAGCACACATGCACACTCATTACATACACGGCCATAACAAACATTCGTACTCACCCCACGGTCACACGTGCACATGTATGTGCACATGTCACCTCCACTCACGGGCATAGTCTCTTGCACAAGGGTACACACATATCCATGAGCACGCACACTTAATACCCATACACAAACACACAGCTGTGTCCTCAACAATATACTTCCACTAGACTATTTCCATTAGCTTATGAGCTCCTTGCAGGCAGAGACTGTGGTTTCTTATCTGAATGCCTGGTACACAGTAGGTGTTCAAAAAGATCTGTAGAAAGGAAGAAATGGAAAAGTGGTTAGATGGACTCACACCTGAGCACCCACCCATGCACTATACCATCGCCCGGGTGCACCAGGAACCTCAGCAGGTCCACATGGTAGGCCCAGCAATCCAGGGAGTGTGCCCGCAGACTTTCGGTGGGAGGCAACCTCCACCCCCCGCACCCTGATGCCCGCCCTTGCCTGTCCCCGCTCTTTCCTGGTTCTTGACGTGAAGGAGGCCAGAGCTGTGGGAGGCACGTCCACGAAGTCCACCCCAGCACCCTGATCTTGGCCACACGTGCATGGACCTACGCTTTGACTTTGAAAACAACAGTACTAATCTCCCACCTTACAGGAAGGAGAGATCAGTGCCCTCGTGAGGAGGACTCGCTGGCAGTCGATGGGTGATTTCCTAAATCAGCTGGAGCTCATTCGTTCATTCACGGGGAGACATTTTTGCCTTGTGAATTTCTTTCCTGCGCAACCAGCAAACTCCAGGGGTCAGCCGCAGAAAAGACAGGTAGACAGCACTGTGCGTGAGTGTGGATGAGCCCCACCGGGATAAGAGGCCCGGCAGCTAGCCCATCTCTAGAAATCCCTGAGGATTCCCTGCTCGGGGACAGGGAGCCACCCTGGAGCCGGAGCCGTCTCCTTCCCCGCTGCTTTTATGGCCCTGCCTTTCCTGTCTGCTGAATTCATGGAAAGCAGGAAGGGGCAACATTAGTCCTAACAGCAACACTGAGCTGCTTACTACCAAGAGTATCCACAGTGTGGCATTAATTTAAATACTCCTGTTACTAATTTATGATCCCAGGTACTATTATCGCTGAAGTTATCCATCTCAACACAATTTAATATGACCCACGCTACCATGGCCGGGCCTGGGTTGTTAATAATTTCCATGGTCTTGATCATTTAAGCCTTACTCGAACAATTACAAACAGCAATTGTTACTATTATTAGCAGTATTCCTATGATGAGGGCCGCACACCAGACCACGATGAAATGCCGAGCGCTGTCGCGGAGAGTGGCCCTGCGGAGCTCGGAGGGGACAGAGCACTGACCTGAGAGTCAGACAGACCTGGCTAAGAGTGCCGACCTGGGCCACGTCACCCCACGCGGCTCACTCCTGTGTGGTCTTAGGCAGGTGAAGTCATCCCTTTCTGCCTCTGTTTCTTCATCTATAAACTGGGAATTTTTTAAAAAGATCCTATCTTGCATGGGCACGGTGAAGAACAAATGACGTAGCAGTGTTCCTCACGAGGAGAGGCTCCACCCCCTTGACGCATCCAGCACACACGTGTGCGCACGTACTGTACACCACCCCTGCTCTCGGCGCCGGGGGACGCAGCAGTGCACACCAGCAGCTGCCCGCATGGAGCTGAGGTTCTAGTGCATTAGGGGTCTGCTGTGAAGGGTGACTTTATACTGTGACCCCTTGGCTTGGCCATGCTGTAGAGAGCACAGCTGGGGTCAGGAGGCACCTTTGCTGGGACCACCGCCATGACCACAGTCCCTGCCACTGTCGCCATCACAGCCACCTACACCAAAACCAGCACCATCGTGACTGCCAGCATCACTAGGAGAACCACCACAGCTAACACTGCCATTACTCCCACGCCCCCGGACATCTCCACCACTGCCGTGACTGCCACACCCTCGTCACCACCATCCCCGTCATCACCACACTGCCACGCCCCACCTTCCTTCCTCTGCACCACCACAAGCAGCCGCGGTTCCGGCTCCAAAGTGTGCTGAACTCGGGTCTGACGCTTTCCCTTGGAACAGTGTCAGGGGCCCTGTGAAGCCACGGCCTGCCTTATCTTAATGCCCTAATGGCCGTGACTCCCGACCTCAAACATGAGTGTCCTTCAAAAATGTCTCTCTGACCCAGAGCCCCCTGGCCCCTAACCCTCAGCACTGGCAGCCAGCGCTCTAGGATGGGCATGGGTGTGGGCTCAGGAGCCGACTGCAAGTGGGACCAGACAAGATGCAGCCGTTTTCATGGGAGGGTCCCCCAGAACCATCTCCCAAGACAGAGTTGTGCACATAGAGGGCCCCTCCCCCCACCACACACACCCTAGTGCTTCCTGGACCTAACAGTGACCCGAGGGTGAAAGGGCGGAGAAATCACTGCCGTTCCATGTGGAGCTGGGAGTGGGCATCACGCTGTGTTGTCAGGCATTGAACCAGGTTTGCCCATGCCCTGTCTGTCCCCCCACCCCTCTGTCATGGTGCTGTCACCCTGTCCCTTCCGGAAGGCAAGCCCCTAACACACACTCCCTGTTCTCCTGTCCCCTGGGGCCCCTCCCGTCAGGCCCTCTGAAGAACAGGACTCACAGCTCCCTGAGTCCCTCCCTAGGGAACCAGCCTGCGGCCCCAACTCACTTCTGAACAGAAATGAAACCCCACCGTTTACTGAGACGGCCTATGGGCCTGGAGAGTCACACAATTCTCTCCTTTAATCCCCACGTCCGTGAGGAAGGTCCTGGGATTGCCGCTTTACAGATGAAGACACTGAGGCTCCAAGAGGTTAAGCCGCTTGCCCGAGGAGCCCTGGAAGGAAGCAGTGGTACCGTAACTGGCCTCTGTGTCGCGCAGGGCCCTCCACAGTGACGCTTCTCTGCGTTCACCCCCATGTCCCGTCATGCCTCCTCTTCATCCCAGCCCTCCAGTCTTCACTCCTGTGAGTTGGGGAGACAGCACCTGCGTGTCCGAGGGGCGGCACTCTGCTCCTCAGTGCGACCACTCAGGTGCCCCTGCTGACGTGCTGGGCTGGGGGGCCTAGGTAGGACTGGCAGAGGTGAGCTGGGGGATGACCCCACCGTTTGGTCAAAGGTGTGATTTCTGAGCTCTCTCAGTGAGTGGAGTGCTCACTCTTCCAGCCTTGGGAGAATCAGCTCCCCTATCACCGGTTCCAACGTCCAACCAGAGGAAGGGTGAAAGGAGATGGGCAAGGAGACAACAACTTTGGAGGGGGGGTTGGGCAGGAGGGGGCCCTGGGCCTGCCCCAGCTGCATCCCATCTGCCCCGGGCAGGCGGCCAGGCAAGGTAAGTGAAACCTGCTGCCCCCCATTAGGAGCTGGCTCGGTGGCTTTGAAGCGTGATGCAGTGATTACTTCAGAGTTTACTCCTTCTGGGCCGTGGTGGGGCGGGGGGGTGGGGGTGCGGCGGCGGGCTAGCCAATGAGGGGACAGGGCAGGGCCCAGGGACTGGTTTGGAGTCCATGCAGTTTGATTCTGGAGCTGCGTTAGTTAGTCGTGAGAGGGGTGGGAGGAATTAGTCAATTTCGGAGTCCAGTTAGATTAACTGGAGCATCAAAGTGGGCCAGTTGCACTGTGCCCTCCCCCCATCCCCATCTGCTCCAGCCTGGGCTCGGAGCGCCCCTCCTGCCTCCGGTCTGTCCTGCAGGGGCCTGTCTGACCCACATTCGTCAGCGTCCCCACCCCCGAGCCCTTCCTTGGGTCACCCTCCCGTGAGAGTCATCTTCTCTCTTCCTTTGACATAACAGTAGAATCGGCCAAAGACTTCCATCTTCTCATTTGCAGCCTTTTCTCTCCCTTCAAAGGCCAGCCTCCCTCCCACCTGCGCCCCATTCTGTGCCCAAACCTCCTGCCAAGGAATCACAAGATCCGATCAATTCATTCATGTCGGCCGTAGGGAGTTAACTTCCCCAGATCGTGTGTCTTGGAGAAGGGGTGTCCAGGGAGGGCAACGCTATACCCCAGCGTTCGAACGGGGAGTCTCAGGCCTGGTGGCAAGGGCGCAAGGGGAGAGGTTCAGGGCACACCCGCCGTACCCCGGGGCGGCCACCTTCCCTGCTGACCCGAGGGGCCGCCCGCCCGTCCCCAGCCCTTCGCTCCGTCTCTGCCCCCCTCTCTGTGGCACGCATCCCCTCAGGGGGCTTTCCTCCAGGACATTCCTCCTGACTCTCGACTTGGATCCTTCCCAAC